CGGCCATGGTGAAGCGACGGCGGCCACAGCCGAGGTGAGTGCGGCGCGACCCTGTCCCGGGCTCGCCAGGCTCCCACCGCCTGTGGGGGCCCTGGTTGCAGCCCTCAGGCCGGGCGGACGGGGCGTCCTGCTGCTGCGGCTGCCTCTACCCGGCGGCTCTGGGGGCCTCAGCCCTTCCTCGCCGCGTCCCCCGGGAGGTCGAGGCCCGTGGGGGGCGCCTAGGCCCCGAGAGAACGCTCTCCCGGGCCTGGATTCCGTTGCGGCCCGGTGTGTGAAGAGGTGGCTGACGGCTGCACCGGTGCCCTTTGGGTTTGCTCCGGGCGGGGCCGAGAGCGGCTTCTTACCCGGGCCCTGCGTGTACATCCAGGAGGGAGGCAGAGGACGCCTGTTTGCAAACAACCTTAGCTTTCCATCGCCCTGTACCGAGTCCTGCAGAGTCCCGGGGGGGGGGCGGGGGGAGGCCGGGTAGGGTGAGGATTGAGGTGCTAAGAGTTCGGGACCCTTAGAGCCCTGGAGTGTCATTCACGGACTTCCTAGAGAAAAGCCTTTTGCGACTTATTTGAGGTGAAATTTCATCACCTGTGGGTAGCTCGTCCACTCCTTATATTGCATCTTATCTCTAAGCGTGATCTGCCTTGGAGAAAGCCCCATCCCGTCTTTGCGTTGCTGTTTCCTAGATAAACACTACCGTTATAAAAATTTATTTTACAGAAATTTGTCTTTTCCACCTCCAAGAAGAGAGGAAATATTTTAGTGCTTCGTCCTCTGTACAAAAATGTTCCCTCTAAATAGATCCAGAGGACGGATGGAAAGAGGATTTTAAGTCGTGCCAACTGTCCTAATAGCAGGAACCCGATGGAAATGAATGTAGTCTAAATTTTAGAAGTAACGTGATTTGTTCTGGTATTGATATAAAAAAAAAGTTAGTGATTGCAGTTTGGTACAGTAAGTCAGATATTTGGGTACTTATGATTTATGGTAAATGTGATGACAGGTTATTCTTGTTTTCTAAAGTATGTGAAGGTGTAAGATTTGTAGGTACTTCTAAAACTGTAATCATGAAAAAAAAATCCTTATAGTAGAAAATTGGTAAAGTGCAGAAAGGTAGTATGTCGACTCTCAATAAATATTTAATAACTAGGGAAAACATATTCTTAATCTCATAGTATGTTTTTGTTGGTCATTCAGAGTTTAAAATGGTGATTTTTAAAATTATTATTTCTTTGTATTAGGTTCAAAGATTAGCTGACCGATTCACTTTATATCCAGGTGTTTGTATAAATACCCATGAAAATGTCTTACTAAATTACATTGGGACCATAGTTGAATTTATCAACAAAAACAATAATATGGGGTAATCTTCTAGATACCTAGAAAAGCCATAATTTAACCTCTTCTGCAGCATGAGAAGCTCCTAAGGTCCAGGGAGGTTAGGCATGGTAAGCATTTTTGAGGAACTGCTGTTATATGTTGTACACCTGCATTGTTTATTTGCTGTTATATGTTGTACACCGAGTTGTTTTTTTCACATAGATCTTGCTGTGTTGCCCAGGCAGGTCTCAAATTCATGAACTCCAGTGATTCACCTGCCTCAGCTTCTGGAGTAGCCAGTAATACAGCACTGGGCTCCTTGTATTGTTTTTGTCAGATTTTGTTTAAATATTTCTAACTGTAAAAATTGGCTGGATTAAAATTTTTGTTAGATTAATATAGGTTTTTAAAAGTCTTATTCATTTCTCTAAGGGTTTTTAAAGACCAACATTAGAATCAGTTGAGAGTGCTGATTTAAAAAATAATCAGCTGATTATTATTAATATTATTTATAATACTGATTGCTGGCAGCTTGAATTAGAATCCTAGAGATAATAGTGGCTCAAAAGTCTTTGTGTGTGTGTGTGTGTGTGTGTGTGTGTGTGTGTGCTGGAACCCAGGGTTCACATATGCTAGGCAAATACTTTGCCACTGAACTACATTTCTAGCCTTAAAATTTTGTTTGTTTTTAGATTTTGAGACAGGGTCTTGCTAAATTGTCCTATTTGGCATCAAATTTGTGTTCCTCCTGCCTCAGCCTACTGTGGTAGCTGGGTTGTCTGTCCTCTTGCCAGCTAAAAATCTTAATTCTTATTAAGTGTCTCCATTCTTATTAAAGTTTGGAAATCACTGTTAAAAGTTAACTAACCTTGCAGGGTGTGGTGACACATGCCTGTAATCCCAGCAGTTTGAGAGGCTGAGGCAGAGGATTGGGAATTCAGACAGCCTCAGCAATTTAGTGAGGCCCTAAGTAACTCAGTGAGACCCTGTCTCCAAATAAAATATAAAAAAAGGACTGGGACAAGAGGAAGTGAGGGGAAAGGGAAAAATAATACAAGGGGGAGGAATGAATTACAGTAGTGGGGGTAGAGAGAGGAGGGGAGGGGAGGGGAGGGGGGATAGTAGAGGATAGGAAAGGCAGCAGAATACAACAGACATGAGTATATCAATATGTAAATCAATGGAAGTGTAACTGATGTGATTCTGCAAGCTGTATACGGGGTAAAATGGAAGTTCATAACCCACTTGAATCAAAATGTGAAATATGATATATCAAGAACTATGTAATGTTTTGAACAACCAACAATAAAAAAAATTTCAAAAAAAAAAAAAAAAGGACTGGGGATGTAGTTCAATGGTTAAGTACCCCTGGATTCAATACCTGGTACAAAAAAAAAAAAATAAAGTTAACTAACATTGCTGGGCATAGTGTCACATGCTGTAATCCCTGCAGCTCAGGAGGCTGAGGCACGAGGATTCTAAATTCAAAGCTAGCCTCAGCAACTCAGCAAAACCCTATTAAAAAAAAAAAAAAAGCTGGGCATGCTGCTCAGTGGTTAAGTGCACCTGGGTTCAATCCTGGTGCCAGGAAGACAAGTTAACTAACCATACCTAGCTGAATGAAAACATAAATTTTTTAGCAAAGCTATTAGTCTTAAGTGGCAATAAAAGTAATTTCTCATAGCAACAGATAATGGTGTTATAATGTTAGAAAGAAAAGTGAAATTTTGAGAAACAGCTGATGAACAATTCAGTTTCAACAAACATTTATTAGAGCCTCCTGTAGTCACTGTGGTGTTACAGAAGGATATCTGACCACTTATCTTGGCGCTTAATGGACCTTGTTGTCATTGTCTGTAAAAATGCAGATAGTCATTATACTTTACCTTGTAAAACTTTTAGGATAAATGCATTTGAATAAGTATTGAAGTAAAATAAAACATTTGTAAAATTGTAGCTGTTAATCTGAAGTGTCAGATTCTGTCTAAGTGTTCCAAGAAGCAAAAAAAACGACCAAGGTTTCTACTAGTGTTTAGCTAATTCTGGAAGCAGGAAAAGTTTAATTAACTGTTACAAGGCAGGGTCAGAAAAATGTTGTAATTGAGTGGAATGAGCTAGAATGAGCTAGATCTTTGCTTAGGGCTTCTGTGTCTCATCCAGTGCCATGCCTTTTAAGAACATTGGTAAAGGATGGGGATGTGGCTAACGTGAGAGAGGCCCTGTGTTCAAACCCTAGCACCACCAAAAAATAAAAATTAAAAAAATTGATGCATTTATTCCAATTCCTGATTCAGTGTTTTCTTCTTCTTCTTTTTTTTACTTTTTAAAATTTATTTTTATTGATGCATTATAATTATGCATAATAGTGGGATTCACTATGCCATATTGGTACCTGCACATAATTTGATCAATCTCATTCCCTAGTATTTCCCTTTCCTTCCCATGATTCAGTGTCTTCTTTAAGGAAATAATTGTATATGTTGCCTTATAAGTGCTAGTTTTATATTGACTTCTTAAAGGCAGAACAAATGGAGATGATTCCTTTGTTGCTAAGCTACTACTGTTCATTGCACTCACTAAAACTTTCATTTGACACCTGTTGTGTGCTGGCCACAGACTGGCAGATAGCAAGGCACAAAGCTTCATTAAAAGATAATTGCCTGGATTTTAGCTAAAATTCTTTTGTTGCTAAAGGGTGGTGTGTGTGTGTGTGTGTGTGTGTGTGTGTGTGTGTGTGTGTGTGTGTGTTTTATGATTATTAATTGCATGATACGGTGCTGTTTGTGGAGTCAGATGTGACAGGAATGCTTATACAACTTTTAGAGCAATGTGACATTTGGATTTTGAGTTTATTCTTGTGTTACTGTAGTAAAAACTCTTCCCCTCCCAGGGAAATAGAACAGGTTCTATGAGGAAAAAATTATCAAAAGCAATTAGCTCAGTGTCTGTCACATAGAAGGTAATCAATAATTATACATTTCCATTTGTCCTTTTGAGGAAAATAAAAACAAAAACCAGGCCTTAGAATTTCTGTGTGACTTAAAATTTGGGAGCTTTAATTGTTTTAGAGAATGAATCTATTTTGGAATTCTTTGAAATTTTCGATAGAAATAATTTTGGTTCTAATTTAGTACACTTTTTTCCATTTCATTTTTTATTGCATATTATTCATATCCACAATTTTATATTGATTTTTAATAGTACTTATGTGT